TATATTCTTAATTTTATTTCAAAATTATTTGTTTGACAACATATCATTGCCAAAATTTATATTTATAAATCCATTGTATACACAGAAATCAGAGATGCGAACCTCTTTTATATTCAGTAAAATATGACAAGGTGAATTACAGAAAATGCAGAGATGGGTAAAATCGCATGAAGATGTTTATCGAAGTTATATAAAAATCTGAACCGATATCGATAAAATTTGGCAGATGTATTTTCGAACTGTATCTGATGTCCGGTATCAAATATCCTTCTTTTGGAGAGCATTTTACGCATGTGAAAGATTGTAACACCAAATCGGATGAAAAAAATATATGTGAGCTATAGCTATATCTGTACCGATTTGCTCCAAAATTTGTATTTGCTTCTGAATTCCGTCGTAAGTGCCAAAATTCAGTCCATTTGGGCTGATATTAGCCATTTGGGGCACAATAAACCTGATATCAGATAAAGATATATATAAAAGTAGTAGTATATATATATATATATATATATATATATATATATATATATATATATATATATATATATATATATATAAATTGTGACGTTCTTGTCAACAAATTTCCAAATAATTTAAATTATTAAAGAAGTCTGAAGACAAATCTATATACATTATAAATAAACAGAAAATTTTATGAATTTTGAAAATGAGAATTTGCCGAATATGCAGAAAGAAGGAGGTTCCAGGAAGGGGTACACTTTTTTCGGTTCAAAATGATGAAATGTCGAAGGCAGAATGGAGTAAAGTTTGCCAGTTAGAATTTAAAGCAACGTCTTCTGTATGTTCTGAACATATCGACGTTGCTGATGATGGTCAGACTTCTCCAATTGCTATATTTTATTAGTTGTGTTCCAAAACAAAAAACAATTTTGTACATTTACTAAAAACCGTTCTCGTACACCCATAACCTGTAAAATTACCACTTTTCTTTAAATAATGGCGCTCTGTCCTTCTTTTAGTAATTTCCCCTTGAAAGTTAAGGGGAATAAAAGTATCGCACATCATCATAAGGGTGAGGGTACATAAGCAGTATGGCGTCATGGCTAGGCATATTGTTGTCAAATTATGAGGGAAAACGACTAGCATCCCTTTATGATATCTCACAAAATATGCCATGCGAATACTTCAAGCTGCTTATGTACCATCACCTTAACTTTTCAACGGCATCCTTTAAGGCATCAATCTTTTTCTGTGGGACAAAGCTACAAAAGCTACGTGAACGAGGCTATGAAGATTTATATCACAAGATAAACAGATTTTGACATTGGATCTAATTTTTTAAATCTGCTAGAACACATTTTTATTGTGCCATGTTTAAATCAACTACAAAGAGACTTCCCCTCGCTTCTTCTCCTTTTTTAATAAAACTATTATTTTAAAGCACGTTTCGTTACTCTCTATAAGTTCGATAAGTTTTAACATACAAATGCTATAAGAGTTTACGAAAATGAAGTGTTTTACCCTGACCCTAATCTAAAACGGAACCCAACGTATTTTTTAAGTTTAGTATTTACACCTTTTATTTACAAACTAAATCATTTTGAAAACATTTATAAAAAAATCAAATAATGTGACCAAAATAATACGAAATATTCTAAAATTAAACTCATATAGTTGCCACTAAATAAATAAAAATACATTAAAAAACATGTCCTTAATTGCATCCTAGAATTGCAACACATCTAAATAACAAATGCGACCACAAAGAAACAACTTTAAAATAACACTAAAATAAACAACAAAAAATAAAAACAAAATAAATTAAAACAATAACTTATGAATTACAGTTTTACATGAGATTTCATAATCTACATCTTAACTATAGGAAATTATTAATATAACTATAGCAACTAAATAAAAAAAGAAACCCTATTAAAATATTAATTAAAAATAAAACCTTAAAAAGAACAAAAATAAAAGCAAAAAATAATAAGAGATAAAACTATAATAAAAACTCATTTTATAAAAGATAACAAAATTGTGTGTTTTTTTCTTAACATTGGGATATTTGAAAAAATTCGAAACGGGAATTTTAGCATTCTTAAGGTGACGGCGCATAAGAAGCTTGGCATCATAGCTAGGCCATGGTAGAAGATAGGTAGATGGAAACATTGATATGTCAAAATTTTCAAAATGTTTTGTCAAAAATAAGTAGATTTTTATATGTTTTCTTATACGACGCAAACAGGAGGTTGATACACTACAAACGTTCTCTACAATCTTCAATAATTTTGCATTCAACATTTTCAATTTCAAAATCAGTTTGACAGTTCATTGTTGCAGCAGTTGTGTCGATGCGACTACATGTATTCTTCTACCATGAGCTAGGCATATTAATACCCAATTACATGGAAAAATTATTGCAGGTAACAGCAAGTCCCAGCTGATTTGACTCTATAGTAATACCAGTGTCATACTCGATATGACGTTTAGTGATTTAATTCCATTTCTTGATATACAATAGGTATACCATTTTTTATATAAAATTTCACTGCAAGGCAATCTGAACATTTTTTTGCCAAATAATAGAAAAATCGCCGTTGGACTTTACAAAACGCCATATGCGATAGTTCGGAAATTTTTTTGCGGTTAAGGAACAGCGACACCACGTTACACAATATATTCGTATATTTCATGTTTCCTAAAATTGCAAAATGTGGAATACTTAATGTATGTAAGCTGTTTGGTTTCATCTAGAAGGGGATGTTGCCTTTAACACGATTTTCTAGCGATTGCTTGAAGTTTTGAGAGATTAGGACAAACAGCTAACAAATATACATTCATGGGAATGTTAATTGAGGAACTATTCTTCTGCATTTTCAATTTAATAGTCCAAATTCCAAAAATGTCTATTATTGAAATTAAAATAATTTATTCAAAATTAATTATTTTGTTTACATTTTTGGACACATAACTGTGACACTTGTATTACGTACAAAAACAAATTTCTATGTGGTTTTTGTTACGATTGTTATGCAACAACACTTGCTGTTACCTGTATTATTCCTGTATTATTCAAATTCCTTAAAATTTTAGAAAAATACATATCATAACAATCTCCTATTGGCGTCGTTTAAGAAAACATATAAAAAATTTACTTATTTTTGAAAAATAATTTTAAAACTTTTGACATATCAATGTTCCCAAGCGTTGATGCATCTACCTGTATTCCTCTACGATGGGATTAACCCACATTTTCAGGATTTTCTTCAACCACATTTACCATACAAAAATAAATCTTCTCCGGTTTATTTTAAATCCGCTGTGGAATCTAAATACTAACGGAAAGCATCATTGTGTACAATATTTGTACCACGGTAGATGAATACTGGTAGATGCATCAACGTTTGGGAACGTTGATATGTCAAATATTTCAAAATGTTTTTTAAATATAAGGAGATTTTTATATGTTTTCTTATAACGACAATCGGAGGTTATTATAATATGCGGTTTTATAATTTTCCATTCAAAATTTTTAATTGCAAAATTGATTTGACAGTTCATTGTCCTAGCAGCTGTGTCGATGCGTCTATCTGTATTCTTCTACCACGATTTGTACTGCATTAAGGTGGGAATACATATACGCTTATCGTCTGGATTCATGGGAAAAGAACAAAAGAGCCTACGGTCCAAATCAAACTAAGTCAACCAAACCTGCTTTGTTCCTCTACGGAAAAACCAGCCAAATAAGCGCTTTATGTATTCCCACCTTTAGTTTTGCATAGACTCCAAAGTCCCAAATGTTTCCATCAAAGCGTTCTTTAACAATTACAAAAACAAGCAAAACTTAAAATTTTATTTGCTCATAATAATAAATTGGAAGATGTTTTTTTTTTTCTTTCCAGGTCACAACACTTAAGCTGCAAGTACATAAGAAGCTTGAAGTCATGGCTAGGCATATTATGTGACATTTCACAAAGGGAGTACAGAGTCGCAATAAAATCCTGCCGTCGTTGTCCATTATAACTTGACATTAATATGCCTAGCCTTGACTTCAAGCTTTTTATGTTCTTGCACCCTTACTTTCCAATATAAATTATCTCTTCCTTTCCTTGATGGATCATTTTTGGCCATTTTTATACCCTACACCACAAGGTTGCCAGGGTATTATGTTTTTGTGCATTTTATATATGTCCGTCCGTCTGTCCATGTATTTTTGTAAAAGTACAGGTAGCATTTATTTGGGCCCAAGGAGGAGCCATATTGAAATTGGAGATAATCGGTCAAAATTTAGATATAGCTCCCATATATCTTCGTCCAAAAAGTATGGAATTTTGCACATACGATCAAATTAGACCTGAAAACAAGTTTGCCCAATTTGATCGAAATCGGTTCAGATATGGCTATAGCTCCAGTATATATTTTTTTTTATCCGATTTGTTATTTTTGTCCTCCGCAGCCGTAATATGCACTCTGTAACAACAATATTTGTGGAAATATATTAAATACATCTCAGAAATACCTTTGCTAAATTTTATCGAGATCGGTCAGATTTGGATATAACTCCCATATGTAACTTCGTCCGATTTGTATTTTATTGCGCACCAAACGTGTAATATTAGCCCAAATGGGATGGAATTTGGCACTTACGACCAAATTGAGTCGCGAGTATGTCAAATTTGAAAATCGGTTCAGATATAGCTATAGCTCCCATATATATTGTTTATCTGATTTTTTATATTTATTCCCCACTGCCGTAATATGCACTCCGTAACAACGATATTCAGGAAAATATATCAAATACACCTCAGAAATATCTTTGCCAATTTTATCGAGATCGGTTCAGATTTGGATATAGCTCCCATATATATCTTTATCAGATTTCAAGTTAATTGTGCACCAAATGGGCAATGCAAGCCCGTACTATGTTCTAAAAGCCAGTAAAAAAAACTTTATATGTATTCTCACCTTTATAGATTTTTTCCGAAATACGTCACCTTCTCCACTTTTGACCAATGAAGAAACAACCCTGGTTTGAGTTTGGTTTTTAATAAATTTTATTGTTTATTGTAGATATAATTGTTGTTGTTGTTCTTATGTTGTTTTTGTTTTACTTTTTTTGTAATAGAACATTGTTACAGTGGATTAAAAAATAGTACAATGAGGAAGGAACGGGGGGCATATTCTGTTCTAAAAGAGATCGTCCCTAAAAATGAGTTGTGGTTTTGCTTTGTTTCTTCGTCTTTTTGTTTTTTTTTTTTTTCTTTTCAACGGCTGAGAGAAAACAATTCGTTTACTATGATTGATTTCGGTTTGGTATGGTTAAATTTTTCATATATAGTTTTTTCTTTTGTTTTTAATATATATTTTTCTCTTCATATATAAATATAGAATTAAGGGTATTGGTTGATGGTATTTGCTTGCTTGTGTTGTTGTTTTTTTTTTGTCACTTAAATTTATTTTATATTTCAATAAAGAAAAAAATGTTTTTTTTTAATTTTAAATTGTAGTCTATTAAGAGTTTTGTTTTTCTTGATTTTCATAATTATACATTTTTGGGTTTTTTTTGTAGTTTTTTTTTATTTTAAGGAAATAATTCATTAATATTATTTATAATAATTTATATATGCTCATAAGTATATGTATGTGTGAGATGTGATTTTTATTATATATGTATATGTTTTGAATTTTGTTGTATTTATGTTATTTTTAATAAAAAAAATATTTTAATTAAAAAAAAATGCAAACATTAAGGCAAAATTAAAAGAAACTGAATGTATATGGACTTTTAAACTATAGTTTTCTGTTTCTACTACGGACATTCTATGTAGAATAACAGAAAAATTCTATCAAATATTTGAAATTGAATATTAAAAAAAATAATAATAATAAATATATATTTTTTATTTAAAAAAAATACTAACTAATACTACCAATTAGGAAAACATATATTCAATAATATATGTATATAATGTTTTTGTAATTTTAATAGTTAATAGTTAATATTTGGGCTATATATACAACAATAACTAAATAAAAAATATTTAATATGGCTGTTTATTTCTTAGAAATTGAGGTTAATCGCAGGTTTAGATTTACAAAATCCCCTCGATGACAAATGTCAATTTCATATACATGGTAGAATAATACAGGTAGTCGCATCGACACAGCTGCTAGGGCAATGAACTGTCAAACCAATTTTGGAACTGAAATTTTTGAATGAAAAAATATTCAAATTTGTAAAAATTAAAAAAAAAATGCATATCATAACAACCTCCGATTGACGTCGCATAGGAAAACATATACAAATCTACTTATTTCTGAAAAAACGTTTAACATTTATATGTCAACATTTTTTAAATTTCTTTTCAAATATAAGTAGATTTTCATATGTTTTCTTATACGACACCATTCGTAGGTTATTATAATACGTGTTTTTCAAAAATTTGTACAAATTCAAATAATTTTTCATACAACATTTTCAATTCCAAAATTGGTTTGACAGTTCATTGTCCCAACAGCTGTGTCGATGCGTTTACCTATATTCTTCTACCATGCGTTGATTTATAAATACGATATACGTGACGTATACACTAAGGAATTGACATTTGAAATCGAGTGATTTAGTAGTTCAAACATACTCAAAGTGGTTTGTGGTACATATGCTCTGTTCCAGAACCTGCAAGAATCTACTACTTTTTTTCGATTCTATTGAAGATTAACCCACGGAGTAGTATATCTAATTGGTTAATCTTGTGTTCTTAGCAATGTAGAAGAATGCATGTAGTCGCACCGACACAGCTACTGGGACAATGAACTGTCAAACTGTTTTTGGAATTGAAAATGTTGAATGAAAAATTATTGAAATTCGTAAACAACCTCCGATTGACGTCGTATAAAAAAACATTTTAAAATCTACTTATTTTTTATAAAACATTTAAACTTTTTGGCATATCAATGTTCCCAAGCGTTGATGCACTCATGGGTTTTATATAAACCAGTAGTAGGATTCTCTAACTCATTTTTTGAGTTACCGACAAAAATCGGTAACTTTGAAACCCAAAATTTTGATATAAAAAATAAGTTAAAGTCGAAAATACTGGTATCTATCGGTAGGTCTTAGCGACTACATTGATTTCGTAGCAAACTTATCGATAAATTTCGTTCATTACCGAAATTATAAGCATTTTAATTTTACCGATTTTTGTCGGTAACTCAAAAAATGAGTTAGAGAATTCCACTACAGGTGTCTAATTACGGCATCCTCTATCGTATGCAAAATTGTATCGACATGAATTACGGCTTGAATTTATTGTTGGGATGATTGCTTTCGATCGTCATTTTATCGATTTTGTTACATTTGACAATGTCAAATTTGCTATCTTTAAGAATTAACAAAACATGTTGAAAAAGTGAATTTTTGCAAAAATGGGCGAGGACTTGTGTTTTTTTATGTCATCGTCGGATTCAGAAGATGATTTAAATGTAAACATCTTACGAAAATAAATTCGCGATATAATCAATCCTTTATCTTTGCCAGAATATATGCTGTTATAGTTCTTTCTCACATTGAAGGTTTAAAGGAAGCTTTTTAATATATTTTGTCAGAACTGCACTTAACTGGCCATATGTCAACAGCGGTACTACCTACTGTAAAGTTAGCAGTTACACCATCACTTGTAGCTAGCAGCAGCTTCCAGCATTGTGTCGGGAACGACTTTTTGGTTGGTTTGAGCCAAAGTGCTTTGTGCAAAACCGCACACCGACTTTTAAAAGAAATGGAAAAGTAGTGTCACAAAAAAAAAATAATATTTCGATTGGAAGAGTCGGCAAAATTCAAAGAAGCTTTTGTGTCAAATCATAATAATTATTTAATATTTTTAAAGAAACTTACATTTTGTTTTTGAATTAATGCACAAATTATGCTCCAATCAGAATTATAACACCTTAAATTGTCGTATACGATACAAAAATAGTCGCGGGCAAAAACTCGCATGGTTTCATTCGACAATTCCATGTCAAGTACTCGAAGATTACCAAAAAAAAGATTACGATATCGTAACTTCTCGATATCGTATGCGGTAATTAGACGTCAGGTCGTGTGAGATCTATTTTTTATATAGTAAATTTGGTTGAATAAACCCGGATTAAGCAATAAATCCTGATAATGCGGGCTAATCCAAACGCGCTATAACTCCGGATTATTGCATTATGGTTACATAGCTCTTTGATTTTTATAAAGCGATATGTCGGTAAAGCAATGGAAAGAATGCCGCCCTGAGAACTGCAACAGGGTGCCTCCTCATGACTCCAGTGAACCATTTACATGAGGAAACGAAGGTTCTTCCCTAAAGGTCAAAGACTGATCATAGCTTAAATCGTGACTTGTATTTTCGCACTAAAGTTACGATTTAAGCTTTGATCTGACAACATTTTTGTTAAGTGTTTATTCGCAACAACATCTGGATCATGGTCTACATAAGGTTGGCCAGTAAGCCCATCTGACAACCCAGTTTGCTGTCATACTACATATTGTGATTTTAAATTTAAAGAAAGTCAAATCACAATAGTGAAAAACTACTAAGTTTATTGTCAAAAGTAGTCTTCTTGGCCGACTTTGTGTAGGTCTTGATCTGGATGTAAGTTTTAGTATTTATTGCAAAAAAAAAAAATCACAATTTTTTTAAGACACATATATGTATATGACGTATGTGATTTTCTTCCGCATTACCTTGCCTTAGGATAAACCAAGACTCTTTCAGTAGTAAATAGTTAAAAGTGATTGCAGCTGCACCGATATTCACTAAACCCATTTCCTTCTAAAGCACCTTCCATCTCCTACTTTCTCTTCTATTCTATCGTTTTTTATATTTAAACTTTCTTAGGAGAATTGCAAGGGACCAAAAGGCCTTTCGAGTGGAGTAGTTTCGAAACACAGCGTCTACGAGACCTCTAAATAAAACATTGAACCCATCAATTGCTTTTAAATAAATGCCTTTCTATTGTTCTTCTTCTTCAAAAAGAATATATATTTTCATTATTATTATATATTGATTATAGATTACAACAAAAAAAAAATATATTTATTTTGAAACTAAAAACAAAACAGAATTTTGTAATTAAAAAAAAAAAAGAAAACAACAAGGATCTTGATACTCATTTTTAATGTGTTTTGTGTTTTTCATATAGAAAACCTCAATACTAGTTAATGTTTTTGTTGTATATTATAATTTAAATACACAATAAATTATGAACTAAGCTAAAAACTTTGAAATTTAATATTAAGTTGTAGTTGTATATTCATAAAATACATACGATTATTATTTGTTTTTCTTTCAAATCTAAATTTAAAAATTAAATTTAAATAGGTTTTTTTTGCATTAATTTAAAAATGTTTTTTTGTTTTTGTTTATAATTATTAATTGATTTTATTAATTCTGAAATTTAGGGCGGGGGGCAGGGGAGGAGTAAAGGGAAACTTGATAATTAATAATAGAAACGACACATACAGGAAAAAATGCAACTAAATAACAATTTGTTTTCTCTGTGTTTTTTTTTTCTTAAGGATTCTTGCATTACTTTATTTAAACAAATTACATATACATATTAATTAGTTCGATTTTTTTTGGCTACACAATAACATTGTTGTAGGTCAAGTAGTTGGGTTTTTTTTTGTAATTTATGGAAAACAAAAATATATATTTATATATTTTACATTATGTTTTTGTTTATAATTATATAATTTTTCTTTTTTTCAAATTTTATTTTAATACATTGAATTTTTAAAAGTTTAAATGTTTCAAAACAAATTTGGTTTTTTGTTAATTTGAATTTTGTTTGTTATGAAGAATACTTGCTTGTTAGATTCTATGATTCCATTCCTGATTATTTTTCTCATATAATTACAATTATTTTTTTTATTGATTTTGTTTCTCACATGGGAAAAGGGGGTCTTTTATAGGTAATTTCCTACATTGATTTTGTAGCATACCTTTAGGCTTATCTATGATATTCGCTTCATTATAAACACATGGACTGGAATAAAGGAAATTTCTCACAGAAAATGAACCCATATTACAATTGTTTCTTCTTTGGACACAATCTCCAGTTTCAAAGGGCTTGAACAATTATTTTTCATGTGCAAACTTATCATAAAAACAATATTTGACGGAACTCAAAACTGCACAAAAACTTCAAAAAAAAATTGAAAAACAAATGGAGCAAATTTTCTTCCGTCCATGTGTTGGATAATTACACGAATCTCTTTCGCATTTCTGTGCGCCATACCTAATTATGGCTTACCGGTTTAAATTTGTATTATTATTTTATTTTATTTGGTACTTGGAATTGAATTGTTTTATATTTATAAATATTTTTATATGATTATTGTTAATGTTTATTTCGTGAATAAACCTAATCTTTTAAATACTTTACAAATGTTTATTTTTTTCGTGTGTGTGTTTGAGTGTAGAGGGAGGGTGAAAGGGAGGCAGCTGATTTTAGGAATAAAACGTACATAGAATTACATAATTACTATTTGTTTTATGCACAAATAATGATTGTTGATTGTAGTTTTTAATATATATATGTATATAAATTTTCATTACATAATAAAATTGATTTTAGCTTGGTATGTTGAAATGTGATGGCATTTGAAGATGGTGGTAGTGGTGGTGGTGTTCTTGTTGTTGGATTATGATGTAGGTTTTTCATTTTGTTTAATATTTTTGGTTTACCATATCTGGATGAGAGAAAGAAAAGAGAAAGAGAGAGAAAAAAATAAAATATATAATAAATAATTGTACTTTCGAAAATAATAAATATGAAATAAAGTTAACATAAAAACATAGTCAAAAGTACTAACATAACGCTGAAGCTTATGCATGAAAATAAAAATGTTTTCGAAAAATGTATCCACAACTTTTTTGCTATGAAAAGTTGTTACCGACAGCTTTTCAACAAATAATGGCTATTATCGATAACTTTTCTGCAGAGAAATTCGTTATCGACAATTTTTCTACAGAGAAAATCGTTATCGACAATTTTTCTACAGAGAAAATCGTTATCGACAATTTTTCTACAGAGAAAAATTGTAATCGACAATTTTTCTACAGAGAAAAATAGTAATCGACAATTTTTCTACAGAGAAAAATAGTAATCGACAATTTTTCTACAGAGAAAAATAGTAATCGACAATTTTTCTACAGAGAAAAATTGTAATCGACAATTTTTCTACAAAAAATAGTTGTTGTCGACAACTTTTCTACGGAGAAAAGTTGTTATCGACAACTTTTCTACGGAGAAAAGTTGTTATCGACAACTTTCCTACGGAGAAAAGTTGTTATCGACAACTTTTCTATAGAGTAAAGTTGTTATCGACAACAATTCTACCAAGAAAAGTTGTAATCGACAACATTTTTAAGAAGATAAGTTGTTATCGAAAACATTTCTACAGAGAAATGTTGTAATTGATAAAATTTCTACGATGAAAAGTTGTAATCCACGACATTTCTACGAAGAAAAATTGTAATCAACAATATTTCTACGAAGAGAAAGGTTGTTATCGGCAACATTTCTACAGAGAAAAGTTGTTATCGACGACTTTTCTACACAGAAAAGTGGTTATCGACAACTTTTCTACACAGAAAAGTTGTTATCGACAACTTTTCTACAGATAAAAGTGGTCATCGACAACTTTTCTACACAGAAAAGTTGTTATCGACAACTTTTCTACAGAGAAAAGTTGTTATCGACAACTTTTCTACAGAGAAAAAGTGGTTATCTACAACATTTCTACAGAGAAAAGTTGTTATCGACAACTCTTCTACAGAGAAAAGTTGTTATCGACAACTTTTCTACAGATAAAATGGTTATCGACAACTTTTCTACACAGAAAAGTTGTTATCGACAACTTTTCTACAGAGAAAAATTGTTATCGACAACTTTTCTACACAGAAAAGTTGTTATCGACAACTTTTCTACAGATAAAAGTGGTTATCGACAACTTTTCTACAGATAAAAGTGGTTATCGACAACTTTTCTACAGATAAAAGTGGTTATCGACAACTTTTCTACAGATAAAAGTTGTTATCGACAACTTTACTACAGAGAAAAGTTGTTATCGACAACTTTTCTACAGAGAAAAGTTGTTATCGAGAACTTTTCTACAGAGAAAAGTTGTTATCGAGAACTTTTCTACAGAGAAAAGTTGTTATCGAGAACTTTTCTACAGAGAAAAGTTGTTATCGAGAACTTTTCTACAGAGAAAAGTTGTTATCGAGAACTTTTCTACAGAGAAAAGTTGTTATCGAGAACTTTTCTACAGAGAAAAGTTGTTATCGACAACTTTTCTACAGAGAAAAAGTGGTTATCGACAACTTTTCTAGAGAGAAAAAGTGGTTATCGACAACTTTTCTACAGAGAAAAAGTGGTTATCGACAACTTTTCTAAAGGCAAAAGTTGTTATCAATAACTTTTGCGCAGTATAAAGTTGTTATCGATAATTCTTCTACATATGTTTCAGATTTTCGAACAGCAATTGTCAAAAAATTTGACTCAAAGGGAAATATCAGCGAAGACCAATGGCTAGTATCCAAGACAGACATCCATCCATCCAGAGACAAGACATTATCTTCTCCTGCCAACTTATCAAAAGCAATTTGTCAGTGACATAAAAAATTACATTCTTTAAAGATTGATTCATATCTGAGCACAATTAGGGTTTAAATATATGTTCTCAATTTTTCAAAATTGCAAACAAAATTAACGATTTTGCACTACAACTTCTAAAATCATGAAAGAAAGGAGCCGCAGAAAAAAGACACAAAAAAAATCGCAAAGCTAAAAACAAATCAAAAAATACATTAAGGGAGGCAGCAACAAGCTTCAATGGTCACACATTCCATTCAGTACTTACATCCTCAAAGAGCATTTTTAAAATACTAAAATAAAATAGCGACAATATACAAAAGTTGGGAGTAACTTTAAAATGTTGTCCGGGGAATACATTGGTAAATTATTGCCAACCCATAGCTAAAAGAAGGAGAATAAAATATTACAAAACATAAGGGCAAAGAGGGTAGAGTAGGGTTAAAAAGATTACATCAGACAAGAAATATGATGATTGAAAGAAAATGAATGAAGTGGGGAATATACTGAATCTGAAATCTGAATAATCTCAAAACTAAGGGAAGGAAGCAATAATACGATATGTGGTGGTCTCGGAAATGGTTTAAGAAAATATTGAGAGTTGGACTTTTAAGGAAATTTAAATTTTAGGAAATATCGATGTGATGGTTTTGGAGAATGGAATAAGAAATAAATTTGAAAATCAGTAAGGAATTTAAAATTAAAGGCAATGTTGTATGTAACGGGGGAAACCTTTTCTTTAGCAGTTTTTGGGACTGATGCCAGGGAATGTGGGTTTAATGTTTTTTTAAATTATTTTTTCATTGAATGTTTGCATGAATTTTTACATAACATAAATGTTAATATGTCTGCATGTTAAGTATGGATTTTTTATAAATATATATATATTTTTAATTGTTTTTAGAATTGTTTTTTTTTTTTTTGTTGATTTGAAGTTGTTTTGAGTAATTTTAAGACTAAACAACACTCAATTCGATGGTCTTAACACATTTCAATAGAGAATTATAAACTTTAGTTGTTGTTTTGGTTTGATTTTTAAATACATTTTTTCAGGAAAAAATAAATAATTTTCATATTTCCATAGAACCTTTTGTAGAGTGGAAGGAGGCGGATCGAGAATCTTTTTTTAACGAAACAGTTGCTCCTGCCATCATGCTGAGGGATTTCAGTTGAATTTCTTGTTTTCAAATTATTTTTGGTTAAAGTAAAGTTTTTTTTTACTTTTTTAACTATTTCGTTTTTTGTTTTTAACTTTTCAACATTGCTCCAAAGTTTGTCTAGTTTTGTTAGTAGTTTTTAATTTTGCTTTTACTATGTTTGTTTTCTTTTATGCTATTGTTGTTGAATCAGTTTCTTTTTATATACCTGGTGTGTATGTTGTCTGTTCTGTGGTATTCAACGATGTCTGCTCAGTGGCTGCAGCCACGGGGGCACCTGTGAATGGATTCACACCTGTGGCTGGTGGTGGTGGCATGGCAAAGACTGGCTGTTGTTGGCCACCGCCGAGGCCAGTTGATGTAGTACTATTGGCACCGCCCATGCCGCCGCCTATTGCTGGTTCATCCAAATCCACTTCCTCCTGTAAAGAAAGGCAAAAACAAAAATTTTTTATTTAATTTTACAATTTTTGGAGAAAACAAAGCTTCTTTACTCTTCAAAAAGCCTCTATTCAAAATACCATTTTGTATACTAACGCAATCAACTACTTTGCAATAACAAATAATTCATAGAAAAAATACAACTAATTTCACACTACCTTGAAGACACCATTCCAGTCTCAGTTGGATCTTTATTTATTTTTTTTTTAGTCTTAAAGATGTATACAACAATGTTTTAGAGGTTAGGATAGTAGTAGTAGAAGTATTCAAATTATTATTACATACTCAATGTTTAGGATAGGTTCCACACACAATGTTAATGTTATTGGAAAAAAGGTTTTTGAGGAACACAATTTCGTTGTCTTGAGTTTTCTTCACCACACCAACTCTTGTTATTTTTTTAATATGAGAATTATTTTTATTAAATCTATAAAAATTTTAAAATAAATATTTTTTTCTTTGTTACGAGAAAGTTATGACTGAACCTCTCATAATGAATGACCATAACAGCGTCTAGCTTATGAAAAATGTTTTGTATTTCTAGTTTCTAACGATATGTTTTGCTAATGAGATGATTAGTCCACCTACATTTAATTACTATAAAACAAGTTAAAAAGTATCTGTCGGTTCTGCCGAAAGACGTATACCCCCAGCCAATGTTCGATAATTTAAATATATTTTGATTTCTGTTATGATTATTCAAACTCTTGATCCTCTATGTAGTGGGTTCTAAAGGAATGAGCCAATATTGTCCATTTTATATCGGACCTAAATAAATCCATATTCATCCCAAGTTTCTGGTTGAGAGAATTATTTAGACATAGCAAATTGTAAAGAATCGCCGACCTGTTTCGCAAGTTATGGCAGATAAAAGTATTGAAAATTGTGACCCTTTGCAGGTGAGTCACCAGAAGGGGTTCGCAGCTATGTATCATCTTCACAGCAAAAATGTTTGTATGTGTGAAATTTGAAGAGATTTGGAGAGCTTATTTGGCTTACTTTGAGCGTTACGTTTCTCAAAATCTTGAACCCAATGTGGGGGAGGTACCAGAAGAAATAGTCCGATCTCTACCATCTTTATAACAGATCTTGTGCTGATAGAAATATTGAGATGTTCCAAGTCTGAATGGAAGCGGATGTAAATTCCGTGTTTCTGACCCTTTGTGGGGAAGGTACCAGAAGAAGTGGACCGATATATTCCATCTTCACACCATGACTTGGGTTATTAAAAATACTGTGATGTGTGTAACTTAAAGAGAACTGGATGCTTATTTGGGATTTAATGATCGTTTTTGTTATTAAAAACTTTGACCCTTTGTGGGGAAGGTACTAGAAGGAATGATCCGATCTCTACCGTTCTTATAACAGATCCTGTGTTGATAGAAATATTCAGATGTACCAAGTCTAAATAGAATCGGATGTTAATTTCGTTTTTTATGAGCTTCATGGATAATCAAAATTTCGACCCTTTGCGGGGGAGGTACCAAAAGGAGTCGACCAATATATTCCATCTTCACATCACACCTTGGGTTATTAAAAATACTTTGATGTGTGAAATTTGAAGAGAACCGGATGCTTATTTGGGATTTAATGATCGTTTTTGTTATTAAAAACTTTGACCCTTTGTGGGGGAGGTACTAGAAGGAATGGTCCGATTTCTACCATTTTTTTAATAGATCTAGTATTTTCAGAAATATTGAGATGTACTAAGTCTAAATGGAATCGGATGATAATTTCGCTATTTATGAGCTTCATGGATATTCAAAATTTCGACCCTTTGCGGGGGAGGTACCAAAAGGAGTGGATCAATATATTCCATCTTAACACCAAATCTTGAGTTAATATAATTATAGGGATTTGTGAAATTTGAAGACAATCGGACTTTTACATCAGATTTTATGAGAGTTGTAATTATTCAAAATTTTGACCCTTTACGGGGAAGGTACCTGATGGAGTTTACCGATATTTTCCATTTTGCACCTGACCCAGAACTGACACAGATATTGGGATTTGTGCACCGATATTGTCCATTTTCGCACCTGACCTAGAACTGACACAGATATTAGGATTTGCAAAGTTGGAACAAAATCGGATTACTGCTTTTCTTTCTGTGCAGAAAAAAAATATTTTTTTTTTGAAAATTTTGAACTTTTGTTTGGGAGGTACCCGAAGGAGTGGACCGATGTACCAGAAGGAGTGGCATGTGTGAAATTTGAAGACAATCGGACTTTTACATCACATTTTATAAGAGTTGTAATTATTCTAAATTTTTTGACCCTTTGTGGGGGGAGGTACCTGATGGAGTGGACCGATATTGTCCATTTTCGCATCTGACCTAGCACAGATGCAAATATTAGGATTCGCAAAGTTGGAGCGAAATCGCATTATCCTTTCTCTTTCTGTGCAGTAAATTATTTTCTTTGAAAATGTTGACATTTTGTGTGGAAGCTACAAAAAGGAGTGGGCCGATGTTGCCCACCTCCGAACTCGATCTAAGTTTGATAATAATATTACGATGTACCAAGTTTGAATCAAATCGGATACTTTCTTCGGGAGTTATTGTGCACACCAACCAGCCAGACAGACGGATTGACTTCGCTAGATCGACTCCAAATGTCCCGAAAACGGATTTGGTCCAAAGAGATTTAGGGTCTAAAACCATTTTCTTGATGGGTACGTTTTTGCCGCATCAAATGAAAGATACTGAGGGTATAAAAAGTCGTCAGCCGTCTTTTTGGCTTTTTGAAGAAAAAAATTGAATTTGATCCAGAACTTTGAAACACTTAAAATCGGCCGGTACCGTTATGTAGAGCTTCTGTCAAAACATGCACCTATATTGTACAAATTTTTTGAAAAACTAATTGTCATTCAATTTGAATACAAAATACGAATTTCTGCCAATTAATCTATAAATTTGAACAAAGTTCTGAAATGTGACTAAAATCTGATTCCTCCGTTAAATGGGATTTGTATCAAATCATGAACCCCTGACGCATGCAAGGTCGACCGCCTTCTCCGAAATGGGTATTTTTTGACATTTTCTGATTATTTTGCTTAAAAATGCATATTTTTTGTCTATCACTCTGTTACTCTGACGCTAAACGCGTCACGTCTAGAGTTAATGAAATGGGCAAAAAACGCCCACATATTCCTATGGAACAAGGTAAGCGTAGGGAAACCCACAAAAATCCTTGGGGATGACCCCAATGAGATAAAGACGAGGAATCTATTATTACTAGGTAAGAGAGAGATTAGCAGGATTACAGGCATTCTTACGGGCCTACAAGCACATCTGTGTAAAATTAGATGTGCAGATAACAGCATATGCAGTGCATGCGGGGTAGATGAAAAATCATTGATGGAGTGCACCGATATTGTCCATTTTCGCACAAAGTTTTGTAAATAGCTAAACATCAACAATTACCAAAAGGTTTCACAAACTACTTTATATCTTAATAAGGCATCTAATTAAAAATACAAATGATTTAATAGATACCTCTCAAAAAATAATTTATTTTTTAATCTAATCTCAAATTAAAATCTACAATGTTTACAACTGAATCTTACAGATGATTTTGTGTGTATACAAAATGGTATTTATGAATTGACTTTTAATAAAATTCTATTATGAAATACAATTAAAGATTTGCATTCACCAAAAAAAAAAAAAAACAAATAAGATTCCCAAAATAAAAAAAATGGTATTATATATTTTTTTAGTTTGATAAAATACAATTTATTACGGAATTTATATACAGTGGTGCTTTGGATATATGTGTGGGTGGGTGGGTTTATGTGTAGTCGATTTTTCGATAATTGTAATTTGACAACATTTTTGTGCTTAATACTGTATTGTGCATCGTATTTCGAAATAAAAATGTTAGTAAACCAAGGGGACTGTGCAACAAACAATTAGTGGGGCGGGGCGGGCGTTTGGCCTTGTATACATATTCATTTACTTACAAACTATATAAAAATAAGTATACATGTTTTTTAATCTATGTAGCCTTAAGAAATTGAAATAAAATACAATTTTCAATAAAATACATATTTGTGTGCGCTGATCTCAAGTCATTTTTACAATCAATACATAAAAGAAAATACCACCAACAAATAGTAGAAATTAAACCGTTACAACATCTTGCTAAAAAAATAAAATTAAATAAAATAAATTATTGAAAATAGAAAATAATATTAGGTGAAACGAAAAAGATGAATTAAGAAAATGACAACTACAAGAAGCTGATCGTACATGTGTCGGTTGCTAGCTACAAAATGAAGGATGCAAAGAGATTATACTTATGGCATAGAATTATGTGCATAGAGATTGTGAGGTGGAGAGAAGAGTTGGTAGTTGTTTTTTTTTTTTTCATTTGGTTAGGTGGTGGCAGTACTTACTAGTCGTTCGGGATTACCCATATTTGGGGGACGTTCACTAGCGTCTTTAACTTCACCGTCACGCTGAATATTTAAAAAAGTCATGAACAAACAAAAATAAATACAAGGTAATATAATATAATTGTTTAATGATTTAAAAACTAAATAACTAAAATTATTTTGAAAAAAAAAAAAAACAATAAATGGACTTAACAACTAAAAATAAATCAATTAATTTGGGTGTGTGTGTGTGAAAAAAAAAAAACAAGAAAAACAAAATCGTTCTTCGTTTCATTTTAAACATTGGGTTTTATTCAAAACGAGTTATGGTTCCACACTGAAGAAAGTAGTGTAAATTAAACTAATAAGCAAGAAATAAAAAATGGGGAAGTAAATTGATAGGTGTGACAGAGAGAGGGGGGGAGATAAATAAATATATGCTAAAAGCCCTTGTCGTCACTGATACGATTATGGCTCTGGCAGTCTGGGAAAGAAGTTAAATTTGTATGTCTTTGAATTTGAATTGTACATAACTCCGATAGTGCCGTTTTGAATGCCAGGTTACACTTCATGTGGGAATCATATGTAAAGTAACTTTTTATACCCTTCACCATTCTATGGAGGGTATATAAGCTTTGTCATTCCATTTGTAATTCCTCGAAATATTCATAATGACTACTACAAGTATATATATTCTGGATCAGCGTAAATTTATAAGACGATCTAGCGATGTCCGCCTGTCCGTCTGTCTGTCTATCTGTCTGTCTGTTTTAATCACGCTATCTTTCGGACGAATCGAGATAGAAATCTAAAATTTTATAGTTTACCAGTAGGCAGGTTAAGTTCGTTAATGGGCCATGTAGGTTAATGTTTTGGTACAGCCCCCATATAACAGTACTTCCCAATATTTGGTATTTTCATGATTTTTTCGACATTATTCATCGGAATTGTTTCAAATTTGGTATTTGAAGTTCGAAATGGATACTACAACCTAACACAGAAAATTGTCTGTGTAGGTCCACGTCTTCGTATAGCCCTCATATAACGTTACCTCCCGATATTCAGTACTTTGTTGACATTATTCACCGGAATTGTTTCAAATTTGGTATTTGATGTTCGTAATGGATGCTACAGCATAAGACAGTAGATTGTTTGTTCAGGTCCACGTCTCCGTATAGCCCCCATATAACGGTACCTCCCGATATTCGGTTTTGATGATTTCAAGAACATTATTCACATGAATCTTTTCAAATTTGGTATTTGAAGTTCGTAATGGATATTACAGCCTATGATAGAAAATTGTCCACGTCTTCGTATAGCCCACATATAACGGTACCTCCCGATATTCGGTATATTAAAGATTTTAGAGACATTATTCACCAGAATTATTTTAATTTTGGTATTTGAATTACGTTATGGATACTACAGCCTATGGTCCCTCCCTATTTTCAGTATTTTGTTGATTTTAACAACATTATTCAACGGAATTGTTTCAAATTTGGTATTTGATGTTCGTAATGGATGCTAAAGTCTAGACAGGAGATTGTCTGTTCAGGTCCAAGTCTTCGTATAGCCCCCATATAACCTCCTGATATTCGGTATTTTCATGATTTTAGCGACATTGTTCACTTGAACGTTTTTAAATTTCGTAGTGAAAGACTTAATGGGTACTAGAATCTATGAAATCGTATGCAGGTCCACGTCTTCGTATAGTCCCATATCATGGTACCTCCCGATATTGCATATTTGAATGATTTTAGTGTCATTATTTACTGGAACTGTTTCAAATTTCGTATTTAAAGTTCGTAATGGGTACCACAGGCTATGACAACAAATTTCGTATGTAGGTTTAAGTTTTCGTAGATTCCCCATATAACGCTTTTCATTTAAGTGGTAGTTTTTGGAATTTTATTTTTGATACCCTATTAAAAATCATATTCGACAGATCAAACAATTTTGCGGATTTTGAATATTTAGAAATATAAAATGGGCAATATTTAAATATCAATGTTGCAGTAATTTGGTATGTAGAGTTTCAAATATTAAAACACCTTACAAAAAGTCATCAGCCGTCTTCTTGGCTTTCGAAAAAGAAAAATTGAATTTCACCCAGAACCTTTAAAAAGTTAAAATCGGCCGGTACCGCTATATGGGACTTCTGTCAAAACATGCACCGATATTGCACATTTTTTTTTGAAAAACTATGTTTTATTCAATTAGAATATAGAATGCGAATTTCTGCCAATTAATTTATAAATTTGAACGAAGTTCTGAAGTGTGACTAAAATCAGATTTCTCCGTTAAATGGGATTTGTATCAAATCATGGACCACTGACGCATACGAGAGCGGACAAAGGGTCCGAGCCTTCTTCATCACGGGATACTTCTTAAACATTTTTTTAGTCATGGTTGATTGGAGGCTCCAAAAATTAAATATTTCTTCATGTACTATCCGAATATGTAAAAAAATAATTTACTAGTTACACCGTGTAATAGTGGCACAGAAGTGAGTTCTATGCTTCAAAAAAAAAATATATACCATACATAAGCTCTCCTTTTCCCATGAGCCAACAGCTTTACTCGTAAGCCAGAGTCCAATTGTATTTATTTTGAAAAAATGAAAATAAAGAGGGCATACTGGACAACAGTAAAAGTACTAGTTATGTAGGTTCTTTTGAGGGTAGCGTACGAAGATCCATAAGACAACACGAAGGTGTAGCAATTTTAAACTTTTAGAATAGCTAACCCCTAGAATAGGTAAAGAGGACATAATGGACACCAGTAAAAGTACTGGTTATTTAGGTCGTCTGGAGGGCAGAGTACGAAGATCCATCAGACAATACTAAGGTGTAGCAATTTAAACTTTTAGAATAGCTAACCACGACCGCAGGCTCAACGCAGTATGTCTACGATCTGAGGTTGAGTTTCCGGTCTCCTCCTAAGGTGATTCTTTTCTATCACTTCTTGAAAATTTTGGAAGAAAACTTGGAAGAAACGACTTTATTGAAACCCGCGTCACAGTGGCAATATTCCATTCGGCAAATATTGAAAAATGAACTCGGGGCAAACGCCATTGAAATTCCAAAAAGTGCAAGAACTTACACCGCAACAGAAAGAAAATAGACTCAAAAGACTTAAGAGCTCTTGGCCGAAAGTGGTGGTCGAATTTGGTTTGGTGGTCCCCGATGCGAAAATATTCGTTGTCCAGCAGTTTCTAAACAAAAAAATGATCGTGTTTACTTGCTAAAGAGGTCAGCTGAAAATGTGCACCTTCGGTTGGCCACTAGAACTCAAGCGCCGGCCATGGTGATAGTGTGGGCCATAACAGCCGATGGTCGCTCTCCGCTCGTATTAATTGACCATGACATCAGAATAAATGCCGAATATTATCGTGAAAATATTATGAAGGGTATTTGACCGCAGACCTTGGACATTCCAACAGGACTCAGCACCATCGCACTCAGCATGCGCCACCCAAGAATGGTTACAAAATGAGGTGCTTCTCTTCATTTCCAGCGCACGATGGCCACCAAAATCTCCGTTGGACTATTGTGTCTGGAGTATTTTGAAAAGCAAGGTTGGCACAAAAAAATACCAAAGTGTCGATCACCTCAAACAAGTGCTTCGCCGGGAATGGGCCAAAATACCGCAGAGCAACATTCAGGCAGCGTGCGACGATTTCATTGGTCGTTTGAAGGTCACAAATCGTGCCATTCGAACAAATCTAAAGTTATTCTAAAATTTGATGCTATTTCCGACATTTTTTGCTTTCATTCAATAAAATTTAAAAAAATGTAAAAATCATGGCATTTGACTTTGTTGCAGTTTTTTCTCACCATGTATAGTCCCACACTTTTCTCGAAGCGATGGACTGACATGAGCTTTAAAAAAGTACAATTGGTTGGTCAACCATAAAGCAGCTCCATACCCATATTTTAACGCTTGCGATGGTTTATTAAGACTCAGATAGGGACATTTGCGTCAGAAGTCGAGTTATGCTTCCTCCGGCAAATAAGACACTTTTTGGGTCAACAAATGAAATATACGATTGCTAAAAGGAAATGACCGTTTTTTGGAAAATAGCTAACCGGGCGTGACTTGGAAGTTAAAAATAATTGTAAGCCGGGGATTATTCCTGACCTATTTGCCAAAGCTTCCAAAAATATATTTAATTACTAAACTAAAATCTAAATCGTTTAACAATTCAATGATATCCCATCAAAATATAGAGTTGGATATCTACGACCAAAAAATATAAGAAAAATTAACTCCAGGAAAAGAAACCAAAATGTTGTTAATATTTTACAAACTCTGAAAACAAGGATAGAAAATTAAATAAAAATAAAGAGTTTACATTTACACATATATGGAAAATGGGCGATGGAATGTAAGAAACAATGGGATATATCGATTTTCAGTGTGAAACCAAATCATTAATAGTCTCGTTTTCCCAAAGTTCACGCTTAATTCGTTACATCTTTGGATGGAAGAAAAGGAAAAACATTTAGAATTTTATTTTTAAATGTGAGGTTAGGAAAGCATTTTGTTTTGGTTGATGATTTTCGTGAAGATTATTATAATTTGTTGTAGTTGTTGTTGTTTTGTGATACAAATATGTCATGAAAGAACTGAGATTGAAATCAAAAAAGAAGTAGAGAAGAGGAAAGTGATATTTTTAAATGCTAAAATGGATGGTATAGCAGCGTGCATTAGAAAGAAATTCTTTAAAGTAAAAAAAAACACAAAAAAGAGTATTTCGAAAGAACAAATAAAGGCAAATTGAAAAATAAAATCGAAAGGAAAAGTAAAGTACATAAATTCTGTAAGTTTTTTTTTAATATTACACAAGTTTGAGTAGTAACTTATTATTAATTAAACACTATTACCTTACGTCTGTTTTTAAATAAACATTACATAGTTCTAAATTGTTTGACCCCAGGGCAGGGCTAACAGAAAAAAATCCCTTTGAATCACTGGAATTTAACATATAAAACCTATGGTCTACATCTACAACTAAATTTTAATATGACAGTTGTTTTACTTACCTGTTTGAGATATATTTTGAAAAAAAAGAACAAAAAACGAACATTTCCCAATAAAATATGTCACATGCAATTTACATACATACATTCTTCTTTTTCTTTTTTGTACATAGTATTGTAAAACAAAACAAACAAGAGTTGCTGGGAGGGGTAGATAGGGGAGGGGCGGGGCTACAGTTTGCTACATATTATAAACTCCACAAAAATCATCAACAAATAAGCTTTTATTTTTCAAGAGATTAGTAGTATACCACAGAACGAACCATCACCATTCACAAAGCTGGTGATTTACAGGATATAATAATTAAATATATATATATGTAAATAGGTAGGTAGTTAGGTATAATGGTGTTACCAATAAACAAAGCATAATCAATAGAAATATCTATAGAAATAATAATTAATAATAAAGCCAATGAAAGGGTTTTTCTTTTTGTTTCGAAAGAACCATTTTGAAGTACTAAAATATGCCAGTAACGATGAAGAAGAGAGAGAAATCAGAGAGAGAGAGAGAGAGAGAAAAGGTTTTTAGCCTTACGAACCCCAAAATCAACAAGTTGACCAAGTAGGAATTAATGTATTCCATCCTCGATGACAATTCACAAAATTAGAAATGCTTTAAATGTGGGCTCCGTGAAGCTGAGTTTGAAACGATAAAGCACATCTTCCTCTCGATGCTCTTGACTTTATGGTGTACATGAGATCCAAGCCATTGTTCAAAGACAAAAGAATGCAATTGATGAATTCATGTTCCCCTTTTTATGCCCTCCACCATAGTATGGAGGGTATACAAAGTTTGTCATTCCGTTTGTAACACCTCGAAATATCATGATCATTGATCAGCATAAAATTCTATGCCGATTTAGCGATGTCCGTCCGTCTGTCCGTCTGTGGAAATCACTCTAGCTTCCGGTCTACGTCTTCGTATGGCCCCCATGTAATGGTATCTCCCGATATTCGGTATTTTGATGATTTTATCGACATTATTCACCGGAATCGTTTCAAATTTGGTATTCAAAGTTTGAAATGGATACTATAGCCTACGACAGAAAATTGTCTGTGCAGGTTCACGTCTTTGTATGGTCTCCATATAACGGTGTCTCCCGATATTCGGTATTTTGATGATTTAAACGACATTAATCATAGGAATTGTTTCCAATTTGGTATTTGAAGTTCGTAATGGATACTACAGACTAAGAAGGTAAATTGTCTGTGCAGGTCCACATTTTGGTATAGCCCCCATGTAATGGTACCATCCTATACCTGGTATTTTGATGATTTTATTATGATGATTTTTTTTATTTGTAATGACTTATGACAAAAAGTTACCTATGCAGGTCCATGTCGTCGTATAGACCCTATTATAACAGCTACATTCGGTATTTTTAAGATTTTAACAGAATTTTTAACGAATTTTATTGTTTTTTGAGAATTGCAAAATTCGTTCCAAATGGCGGAGGGTATTCAATGTTCGGCACAGCGGAACTTACAGCGTTTGTACTTGTTTTTCTACAAACAATGGAAAACTTTAAGGTTTTCCATACATAATCAAAGATTTCTAGTTCTACAGATTTCTATAGATAATGAAAGATGTCTAATTTATCAATAGACAATAGAAGATATCCAGGTCTTTCATAGAAAATAGAAGATCTCTAGGTCGTGTATAGGCAAAGGAAGACCTCTAGGTGTTCCATAAACAATAGGAAACCTCTAAGTGTTCCATAGACAATAGAAAATATATACGCCATAGAAAACCTCTACGTATTATATAGACAGTAGAAACCCTCTACGTCTTCTATAGACAATAGAAGACCTCTACGACTTCTATGGACATAAAAGACCTCTGGGTCGTCTAGTTCTTCTGTAGACATTAAAAGAATTCAAGTTCTGTGGGTCTTCTATAAACAATTAAAAATTTGGTGCACAGACAAAAAACATCTCCAATTTATATGTGGAAAGCTGAAGCCTCTTAAGTCTTCTGTCAACAACAGACGATCTCTGGGACAACAGAGATCTCTAAGTCTTCTATGGACAAAATAAGTTTTCTAAATCTTCCATCAATAAAAAAGTTCCCTAGGTATTCTATAGATAACAGAAATCCTCTAGGTTTCCAAGTCCTCAATAAGCAAAACAATTATGAAACCTGTAAGGATAAGTCAAAAGCGGGGTCGACTATATGATACCCACTATGTAGAGCTCCCGTAACAGAAGAATTTTTTTGAAGGAGATCATATCACCTATCAACATTTGGCTTAAGAGCAGTTAGAGTTTGGTTTCAGATGGGAGACATATTCAATTCTGAATCGATCTTCACTAAATTTGAGTCGTTTTAATCTTTTATACCAAATAACATTGCTTTAGAGTGCATTATATCACTTCGAGAAGGATATTAAAAAATATATAATATATATATTAAAAAAATATATATTCTACAAAATGGAAACGTTCGTCCCGAAATTCACTCCATTTGCGCTGATATTAGCCATTATTTGCACAATAAATCTGATATCGGTTGAAGATATATATGGGAGCTACATATATGGGAGCTAAGCCGTTCTCGATTAAATTTGGCAGAGGTATTTCCGAGCTCTATAAGATATCTGGTACCAAATATAATTGTTGTCGAATGCATATTACGAATGTGAGGGACCTTAAACACCAAATCGTATGAAACATATATAACTATATCTGAAACGATTTTCTCCAATTTTGTTGCACTTGCTTCTTGACTGAATTCGGTAGAATGTGCCGAAATTTACGTCATTTGGACTGATATTGGCCATTTGGTGCACAATTAACCCGAAAACAGTTTAAAATAAATATGGGAGCTATATCTAAATCTGATCCGATTATCACCAATTTCAATAGAGTTCGTCCTAGGGCCAAACAAAAATATTGTTTGGAAAATTTCATCTCAATCGTATAATAAATGCAACCTCTATTTTGTTCACAAGAATACATGGACAGATGGACGGACGGACAGACTTGTACAAATCGACTCAGAAAGTGATTCTATGAAGATCCTCAAAAGTAACTATAGGTCCATCTCGATTCCTTCTCCATGTTACAAACAAATGCACATAGACATAATACCCTTACCACTATTTGGTGTAGGGTATAAAAATTCCACATGTTTATAACTTGAACATCTTGTCATCCGTGTCGTCGACTTCTATGCCATAAAAAATGCAATATCATAATAAAAAACTCTCTAATAATTATGATTCAAATGTCCTACATCCATATTTACAATACAACTAGGCTAACTTACAAAAAAACTCAACTAACTAGCCCATGATGACAACACAACCGTACACACCCCACACACATATTGTCCTTCTTCTAAACACAATGCGTGTTGAGTGATAGGTGGTGGCCAGGAGAGCGGCGCCTTTATGTCTGCAAAGGAAAACATTTTACTTGTTTTTTTTTCTCTCTCTGCCCTAGAGAGGACGATGACAGCGATAATACTTCAAAATGGTATTTGGAACTGTGGGTGTTTGTTAGTTAGTTGTTAGAAAAAAACAAAACGAAAAGAAAAGAAATAAATCGAAAGCACAAAACAAAAGAAGCTTTGCAGAAACATATTTTCATTTCAATTGTTTTGGAAGAATTTTGATTTTCTTGTTTTTTTTTTTTTTTTTCTCACAGCAGAGACTTATGACAACAATGTTTCTCATTGACTAGAGATTTCCGGAATGTAGATAAAAGGAATTTTCTTAGAGACTTACATTTAGATGGGCATATTGATCGTGTGATTCATTTGCGGGTGGCTTAAATTTGCCACAACAGAAGTTGCAGCAACAACAACAGCAGCAACAGCAACAACAACCTGTTATGAGTGTACAGCAAATAACCAAGGCCTGGCCAAATGCGGTGAATGGAAGAAATAATCAATTAGTTTGGTTTTTATTTTCCATGGAAGTATATCGTTGCTAATTTACCTTCACCGCTGGCGATGTTACCACAAAGTATGCATTGACATTTTCTTCACCAAATTGTTCAGCAATATATAGACCTAATGAACCATAATTATCATAAATATTACGTTTTGTTTGATCGCTTAATATCGAATGTGCCCGATTGACTTCCTTGAACTGCAAAAGAAAAAAGGGGGTTTAAACTTGAATTTGATGTGGAATGTAAAATAACAACGACTTTACCTTTTCGGCAGCATCAACATTGTCTGGGTTTTTATCTGGATGGTATTTTAAAGCAAGTTTTCTATAAGTCTTTTTAATATCTTCAGCTGTTGCTGTTTTAGGAAGTCCTAATATTTCATATAGGGAATCACCCGATGTCCTGCAAAGAGAGATATGGAATGAAATTAGTTTTTTAGTGTCAATAAAAGTTATTATACCCTCAGACATATGGCTAGAGAGGGTATATATCATTTGATACGGCCAAAACGTGTCTCATTGTAATAACGGACCAAATCCATTTAAGACATTTGGCGATCTGTCTATCAGTCTGGCTGGCTGGTGCGCACGATAACTCTGGAAGGGAGTATTCAATATGATCCAATCTTGGTACATTGCAATATTATTGTCAAACTTAGATCGAGTTCGGAGATGGGCAATATAGGTCCACTCCTTTTGGTACCTCTCCCACAAAATGTCAACATTTTCTAAGTATATAATTTACTGCACAGAAAGAGAAAGGATATCCCGATTTTGCTCCAACTTTACATATCCTAATATTTGCATCAGTGCTAGGCCAGGTGAGAAAATGGACAATATTGGTTCACTCCATTAAGTACCTCCCCCATAAACGGTCAAAATTTTAAATATTTCAGCCTCTTATAAAATGTGACGTAAGAGTCCGATTGTCTTCAAATTACACACATCACAATCGTTTTATTAATCCAAGGTCTTGTGTGAAGATGGAGTATATCGGTTAACTCCTTCTGGTACCTCCCCCAAAAACGGCTCCAAATTTTGAATATTTATAAGGCTCATAAAACACGAAATTAACATCCTATTCCATTCAGACTCGGCACATCTCAATATTTCCATCAACACAAGATCTGTTATAAAGATGATAGAGATTGAACCATTCCTTCTGATACATCCCTCACAAAGCGTTAAAATTTTGAATAACCAAATCGATCATAAAATCCCAAATCCCACAGTTCTCTTCAAATTAAACACACATCACAATATTTTTATTAACCCAAAGTCTGGTGTGAAGCTGGAATATATCGGTTTACTCCTTCTGGTACCTTTCCCACAAAGGATCAACATTTTCAATATTCATAAAACACAAAATAAACATCCGATTCAATTCTGACTTGGTACATCTCAATATGTCCATCAACACAAGATTTGTTAGAAAGATGGTGGAGGTCGGACTGTTGCTTCTGGTACCTCCCCCACAAAGGGTCAACCTTTTGAATAACCAAAACGGTCATAAATTCCGAAATATTCACCAGGTTCTCTTCAAATTACACACATCACAATAATTTTATTAACCCTAGGTCTGGAGTAAAATTGGGTTATATCGATTCACTCCTTCTGGTACCTCCCCCAAAAAAGGGTCAACATTTTGGGAATCCATGAAGTTCATAAAACGCGAAAATAACGTCCGATTCCATTCAGACTTGATACATCGCAATATTTTCATCAACACAAGATCTGTTATAAAGATGGTAGAGATCGCACCATTTCTTCTGGTATCTCCTTGAAAAACAGCACGCTCAAAGAAAGCGAAATAAACATTCAAATCCATGCATCCATCCCCTCAAAATTCCCACACACAAACATTTTTGCTAACACAAGATCTGTTGTGAAGATGATATACAACTGCCAACCCCTTCTGTTACCTCAAAGGTCCACAAAGGTTCACAATTTCCAATATTGGTGACCTTTGGCACGAATTATGGCCGTAAAACGACCAATTAAACCGTAACACGCTGCCCGAATATTGCTCTGCGATATTCCCGGCGACGCGCTTGAGGTGATCGACACTTTGGTATTTTTTAGTGCCAACCTTGGTTTCCAAAATACTCCAGACACAATAGTCCAACGGATTGGTATCAGGAGATTTTTGTGGCCATTGTGCGATATTTGCCGCATGGAATATTCTTCTAATACTTCTAATTTTGCACATACCAATATTTATATATGTATAAATGAAGTATGAAAATGGAATACTTTGCTCCGCTATATCTGTTGCCTCACGCATATTTTCATATTTTCCGAAAATTTGCACATATCTCATGTAAAGTACAGGGAGTAGTCGATATAGTCAAAGTCTGTCAGGTTGTAATATTTATATCAGTCTTAGGTCAATATAAGCCAACTGCTTCGGAACTTCTCCCATAAACAGTTAACAGTTTGAATAATCATAAGTCAAGGCTGGGGGTATACATCTGTCGGCAAAAGCAACAATGGGATTCGAGAGAATCATACAAAACCTCTTCCACGTTCTTTTTGGATTCTTGGAATACACATTTTCAAATTAAAAGCTTTGATAGATTTTGGTTACAAATAAATTATGGCTTCTGATTAACTTGTATCTGAAAATATAACCAATCTTAATTAGTGACACCAAAGAATACAAATAAATGACAAAACCATTAAAACCTAATTAAAATAAATCGATATCTTCCATTCCTTCAAAGGATCTCTCCTTTCCAAATCAAGAAAAGAAAGTAACGTACGTATCTTCTCCACTCCCTGGAAGGTCGCCGCCACCGTCTAGCAATAAATCACATATCCATTACCACCTTTGGGTGACCTATTTCTTTTTTTTTTTGTTCTTCTCATTCTATGAACAGCTACCCTCCATATCGTGTTCTAGTAAGATAACATCATCACAAGGCCACCACCATTCATCCAAAACCTCAACCCATCATCAGCAACAACAAATTTATCCAAAGAAACTGCACATTAGGCACTGTACAAATAGAAAGTCATGTGAAAACGAATAACGCCGTTTGGATTTCAATGTCAACAAGGTATCCGTTCGTTTTCCTCCTTGGCTTGCTTAAACAAAAGCATTTAAATGTTGTAAAGGTATTGTGTCGTGTTTGGAAAATATTAAATTGGTTTATAATTGTGATTTGTTGGTTTATAACATTAGAGAGCGGCGAAAAGATGTGGCCCGATATTATATGGAATATTATCGATACAGGATGTGTCTAATGGAATATGAAAAGATTGGAGAAAAGTTCCTTGTCTGACCAGGGTTTGGTTTATTATACCCTTTACCATAGTATGGAGGAAAACTACATTTTAGACCCCACAAAGTATATACAGGATGAGATGAAAAATCTGCAACAAGCTAGTCCGACAGCTGTTCAAATTATTCCAGTGACAGCTCATTATGTTTCTTACAAGCGTTCAAAAGCATTTTGGTGAGAACTTTTTAGAAAAAAACTGTTATTCGTGGTAGAATTCAAGGTTGATAGTGTGATTTCTTTATATTTTTGCTGGAAAACCACAAGTGACTATCGTTAGAGCACTCCAGCATTTAAATGTGAATACGCGACGCAGTGACCGAAAAATGGCTTGTGAGAGTTGAACATATCGCAATATACCTTTCGGCAAATATTGAAAACTGAGCTCGGGGTAAAGCCATTGAAATGCTAAAAAGTGGAAGAACTTACACCGCAACAGAAAGAAAATAGACTCAAAAGAGCTAAAGAGTTAATTCGCTTGGCCGAAGGTGGTGAACTGTCGAATTTGGTTTCCTCCGATGAGAAAACATTCGTTGTCCAGCAGTTTGTAAACAAAAAAAATGAGCGTGTTTACTTGCCAAAGAGGTCAGCTGAAAATGTGCACCTTCGGTTGACCACCAGAACTCAAGCGCCGGCCATGGTGATGGTGTGGGCCGCCATAACAGCCGATGGTCGTTCTCCGCTCGTATTAATCGACCGTGGCATCGGAATAAATGCCGAATATTATCGTGAAAATATTCTGGAGGGTGTATTAAAGCCTTGGGCACGCAAACATTTTGGCCGCAGACATTGGACATTCCAACAGGACTCATCACCATCGCCCTCAACACACGCCACCCAAAAATGGTTACAAAATGAGGTTTCTCGCTTCATTTCCAGCGAATGAATAATATCGCAAAAGTCATTGAAATACCAAATATCGGCAGGTACCATTATATGAGGCCTATATGTATTCTGTCATAGGCTGCAGTATCCATTACAAACTTAAAGTACCAAATTTGAAACAATTCCGCTGAATAATGTCGCTAAAATCATCAAATTACCGAAAATAGGGAGGTGCCTTTATATGGGGGCCATACGAAGACGTGAAGATGCACAGACAATTTTCTGTCATAGGCTGTAGTATCCATTATGAACTTCAAATACCAAATTTGAAAAAAATCCGTTGAATAATGTCGCTAAAATCATCAAAATACTAAATATCGGGAGTTGGCGTTATATGGGGGCTATACGAAGACGTGGACCAGCACAGACAGTTTTTTGTCATAGGCTGTAGTATCCATTGCGAACTTCAAATGCCAAATTTGAAACAATTCCGGTGAATAATGTCACTAAAATCATCAAAATACCGAATATCGGGAGGTACCGTTATATGGGGGCTATACGAAGACGTGGACCTGTACAGACAATTTTCTGTCTTTGGGTCTAGTATCATTACGAACATCAATACCAAATTTAAAACAATTCCGGTGAATAATGTAGCTAAAATCATAAAAATGGCAAATATCGGGAGGAATCGTTATGTGGGTGCTATACGAAGAAGTGGACCTGCACAGACAATTTTCTGTCATAGGCTGTAGTATTCATTACGAACTTCAAATACCAAACTTGAAACAAGTCCGATAAGTAATGTCGCTAAAATCATTAAAATATCGAATATCGGGAAGCGCCGTTATATGGAGGCTATACGAAGACGTAGACCTGCACAGACAATTTTCTGTTATAGGCTGTAGTATCCATCACGAACTTCAAATACCAAATTTAAAACAATTCCGGTGAATAATGTCGCCACAATCATCAAAATACCAAAAATAGGAAGGTACCATTATATGGGGGCTATACGAAGACGTGGTGCTGCACAGACAATTTTCTGTCTTAGGCTCTAGTATCCATTAGGAATTTCAAATACCAAATTTAAAACAATTCCGGTGAATAATGTCGCCATAATCATCAAAATACCGAATATAGGGAGGTACCATTATATGGGGGTTATACGAAGACGTGGACCTGCATAAAAATTTTTTTCTCATAGACTGTAGTACCCTCTACGAACTTCAACTACCAAATTTAAAATAATTCCGGTGAATAATGTGGCTAAAATCATCAAAATACCGAATATCGG